CTGCTCCAGGTTGTCTTTGCAGCTTCACACGTCTGCTCAGAAATCTCCTGGCCGACCTTGGCCCTTCTTTAGTCCACGTTTGGTAACTTTCCACTGCTCCGAGCTCTGGCCTGCCCACATTGGGGTAAGAGAAAACTGGTTGTGCTGGGCAGGAACCACTTCTCGTCCCCAGCTGGTTCCGCCTGGTAGCCCACCGTTACGAGTGAGCGCCCAGCTCGCCGGCCCTGCCGCGGGTGGGTGGTGGGATGCACCGACACGGGCAGCTGAGCAAGACGCAGCAGGCGGGGCACCTCGGCGCTTGCCTTCCCCCCGTCATTTCAGCCACAGCCTCCGGATTTTTGTGGCCCTAGGTCACTTGGACATCCCCCATAATATGCTGACTGATGTTGCAAGAGGTGAATCCAACATGTCCCTGTTTCTTGGTGCCACAGCGAGCACGCAGCCGGTGCGTGGCAGCACCCTCTTCCCCCGAACACGGGGTTGGGACTACCCCATCCTTTACCCATTGCAACCCGATGGTGTCTGCAACTCTCTCCCTTGGGCTGTGGTTTCCCCTGGCTGGGGTGCAGCGGGAGGAGGCGATGCCCACCGCCGCCCCTGACATCCTCCCTGCAGACGAGGACTGTGCCCCTGCAGCGACTGTCCTGTTCCAGCACCGGGATCCATGCCCAAAATTTGCCGCTGGCCCTTTGCCAGCAAGCCAGGGAAATCGGGGGACACGGCATTTTCGTGGGGGCTGTGGGATGTTCCTACCTCATGCTAGTGGCTGCCCTGCTCATGAGAAGCAGCCTGACATGACATCCTGCCACCCTTCCCCACAAACTGTGGCCCCGTCCCTGTGTCCCGGGGGGCTGGGTTGCCCCTGCACTGTCTCCGCTTGCTGTTGACCCCGGCAGTGCATCGAGCTGGAGCTCACAGCCACACCAGCGTGGCTGGAAAACTGGTTGGGGACGCAGCAAACCCACCTTTGGCGTCCCAGCTCCACTCTCAGCTTCTCCGGGGCCACGTCCTTGTGCTGATGGGATTGGGAGAGCAACAACCTCCTCTTTTACAAGGAACCTTGAAATCTTGTTCCTGCCACTGCCTTGCCCAAGATAAGCCTTCCCTGAGGGTTTGTTTATTAGGAAACCTCCCCCGCTCCCAATCCCTTTGCTCTTGAACCCGGAGGAGAAGGAATACTTGAGCAGGAGCAGCTGTACCCACCTGGGGTTAGAAACCCATAAAAGTTGTGCAAGCTCCATTGACCAGGAGCTGTTGGGCTCCGAGCTGTGCCGAGGACCTGCTGTGACCCCGCGTCCCCCTGCCCCAGGAGAAGGGGGGCTGCTGGCCTCGGTAGGGCAGGGGAGGGATTTGGCTGGGTCCTCCAGCTGGCGATTGGGACTGGTCTTGGCTTGGCAGGAGAGTGGGGGGGACATGCGGGTGGGGGACTTTAGTCAACCATGACCGAGAAAGATGGCTATCAGGTGGGCCTGCCGCAAAGGGCAGTTTGCGGGGGGCCCTGCCGCAAAGGGCAGGTAATGGCTCGCTATCAGATGCCTTTAGGGTGACCAAATAGCCGTGTAATGGGCGCTGTGCTGGAGTGGGCTGAGGGCCCTGGGGGTGCAGATTGCAGACTGGATAAGCCATCCCGGTAGTTCAACTCCCATCCATTATTTAAATGCAAAGGTAAATGCTTTCATCTTTCCAACTGGAACGGTGCCACCAGCTCGGCCACCTCCTGAAGGTCCCATCCTGGTGGCCAGTGGGCAGGATTCCCCTGGGCAGAGGAGGGAAGGAGGGGAGCCATCCCCTTTTCGGGGACAAGGAGCAAAGGCTGAGGTGCAGAGTGGCCACTGGGGACATGGGACTTAACCCCACACCCTCCTCTCCGCTCTTGCCTGCACCAGGACCCAGGCTGTGGTGCTGCAGTCCCATGGCCCAGCCGTGGTAGCTCCTCAAGGGAGCTGGGCTGCCTCTTTCCGCAGGAAAAAGCTGTGTGTGTGCACAGGGACTTCTGCAGGAGAAGTTAGGACCCTCATGGCTCCTGTGAGGGCGTTTCTCCTCCCAACCACTGCCTTCAGACATAGCAGACCGCCCCTCTCCCCGGCACGGGACAAGCCGACGGGGTCCCAGTGCTGATCCAGCAGAAGAAAACAGTCGAAACGCACCCAGGTAAACCCTAACCAAGTGCAGCCAGCACCAACACCTGGCCGCATCGCGCTGGCGGCGTGGGGCGGCTGCAGTGGCCGGCCGGAGCAGGCAGGGCTCCCCGGAGAAGAGAGCAAAGCAGACAGCCGCAACTCCCGCTCGGAGGTTTTCCCTTTAATGGTTTGGTTTTTGTTTTGTACATTCGTAAAACCGTGAACAATAAATACTCGTGTGATCGGCCTTCTCCTCCCACTCGTTCCCCCCGGCTTTCGGCAGAGGTGAGGGAGACCGTGAGAGACATGGCAAGGGCTGCTGGTGCCGGCTCCGCTCGCGGGAGAGGTGCCCGGCGCGCAGCGTGGGCACCACGGAGCAGGGCAGCACCCCAGCTTGGGGTGGCAGGATGGAGTCAGGGGCTGGGGAGGGAGAGGTGACTCGTGTGCAGGCAATATCTCAGCTAAACAGGGGTGAAAGGCAGCACTGTCTGGTGGCCTGATCTGCTGAAGCCCCGGGGACGGACCTCAGCTACCCCTCTGGTGTGTTGGACCTCCAAGGTGCCCAAGTTCAGCTGGGGACCTGCTAAGAAAAACAACATGCTTCTTGGGGCAGGGAGGAGAGGTGGGCAGAGGGACCTACACATCCCGTTGCTCCTCGGAGGAGGTAAGAGCCGGGTGGTCAGCGAAGGATGTCACGGGAAAATGGGGCTCCAGCCTCTTGACTGTGCCTGTGGGTGCACTGCTGTGCGCTGGGTGAGGGTCCCAGCACGAGAGATGCACAGAGAAACTGGTGTCAGGGAGAGCAGGGAACCCTGAGGAGTGGGAAGGTGCTGGCGTGGGGGACAGCGGCTGCCAGGGCTGTGTGAGCGAGGACGGTGGGAAGGGGTGGGTGACAGCAGGGCACAGGGTGACAGCGGGGCACAGGGTGGCAGAAGAGGCTGGAGAGAGACTGGCAGTGCGTAATGCGAGCAAGGTGCTCGCATATGGAGGGGGCTGCTGTGCTGACGGTGTTACGGCATCCAAAGACGACAGCGCTACTCAAACCCAGAGATAAAGGCCCAGTGCCACCTCCCCTGGGCTCTGGGATCGAGGGTCCTGCACCCAGGCTCTGGGGTCTGGTCTCGTGGGGTCTCATGACCTTCACTTGGGCCTTGTGGGGCCGGGGCCATGCTGGGAAGCAGCAGGACATGGCCCATCAGGAAGATCTGGAGCTGGCTCAAAAGGGCCACGGTGTTGAGCTGAGCATCTCTCCTTTTGAATGCCCCCCCTGCCCCACACTTTTCTCCAGACAGAAGAGACCAAGAACTCCACAGGCCTGTGTGCCCTAAGCAAAGTCCTTGAGTGAGAAATAAACCCCTCCGATGAGGTGGAAGCTTTGTCCAGAGAGCAATCAGGTGAGAAGAGTCAACCCTTCCTGTTGTCTGGGTCCATCAAAGTACTTGGGGGTCCCAGGTCCCACATGGAGGCTTGCCTTCTTCGTCCACCCGCAGCAGGATTGTCCACTTTGTGCCCAGAGAAGAGCCAGCATCTCAAGCTCCCTTGCTGTGCTGTGCTGTGTAGGTCCCTTATTTGTGGCTTTGCTTGCCGTCCTCTTTGTCCTGCCCTCCCGCCTCCAACCCCAGCTCTTCTCATTGTGAAGAACAAGCCACCGGGTCAAGTCAACAAAGGCCTTGGGTACTAGCAGGAGACCTCACCATCTCCTGAGTGTGGATGGGAGAAGGAAGGTTGCCTGGCTTTGCTGGGCTGAGGAGAGCACTTTAAACCTCCCACGGCAGGAAGGAGTCCAAGAAATCCTGACCCAAGCGTGGGGACATCCTGAGCCACAGCAGATGCTGCTCAGCAGGGTGGCAGGGGACAGGGAGGTGTGACGGCCCTGCGGTGGGCACCAGCCTGCCCAACAGAGGCAAGGTGGCCATTCGGGAAGGCCAGCGCTCGCCCCGCAGCGGGCAGGCAGCAGGCAGCTGCCCGGGCCGTTGGATCTCCATCGCTCTGGCTGAGGGGTGGCCGCTCAGCATTGCTCCGGCTTGGGACAGGCCAGGTCTGTCCCTTCACAGTTGTTTTCAGGGTCTTTGCCCCTTGAGCAGTGGAGTGGCCGGCAGCATCATCTCATCCTCTTTGCTGTACGTCCCGTGTGTCAACATTTGGGGGATTAGGACTAGCGAGCAGGAGCTTGTGGCAGCGGTACGCTGCAGGAACGGGGCCTTCGTGAGCAACGTGCGCCATGCCTGCATGGGGAGAGGCCGCGGGGGCTGTGGCCAGGTGGCTCCTGTGTCATCCTGTCGTTGTGGCTGGGAGGACGTTCTTGTCTCCACAGTGCGGAAAGTACTTGGCCTCTGGGTCAGCCCAGCTGGGCACCTAATTCCCTGCTGTGAGCCGTGGGACGAAGCCACCGTGTCTTTGCTGTGACAGCCACAGTCTGTTTGAGCACGACCACAGCTGGACCCAGGCTTGGCCTCGCAGACACCCTGCCTGTGGCACCTCCCTTGTCTGCAGGTCGTGGGAGCTGGGCTGCAAAAGTCCCCGAGTGTCTCTGATGAGAGGGCTGGGTGAGCCTTCTGCTGGAATCTCGGTGCTTTTAGCAGTTTTCTTGCCTGCTGGTGACTTCCCTTCGGAAGGGGCTTCCAGGAGCAGGGAGCTGAGGCGGCGGAGCACGCAGAGCCCAGGAGCACCGTCCTTGGCAGCGGGGCAGGGCCGGGACTGGTTTCTTACACCTTGTGGAGTCAGCCGGGGGAGCTAGCTGGCACCCCACGCGACGTGGCCCCAGCCAGGCAGTGGTGAAGCTTTCACCCACGGGGAAGAGGGGGAGCGGAGAGGTGGGACGCTAGGAAGGTGAAGCATGAGGTGGTCAGTGAGATCCAGGAGCTTTCGAGCAAAGTGGACTTAGGGGTCGGCATGCAGAGGGCTGTGGACACACGCTGCGTCCGTCTCGCTGGGGAGGCTGCAGGAGAGGGAGCGCTGCATGGCCCGGCAGCCCAGGGGCCCATCCTCGGTGGTGACCGGGAGCTGAGGGCCCTGGGTGGTGCTGGATCTGCCGTCGGAGCAGAGCAGGACGCTGGAGTCTGCCTCGCACTTCGTGGTACGGCTGTAGTAAGGCTCCATCACGTGCCGGAGCTCCAGGGGCACGGTGAGCGGCAGGACCTCAGCCTTGATCACGGCACCCAGGTGGGCCTCGGAGGAGGATGCCCGGAGGCTCTCAGAGCGGCTCATCTTGATCAGCAGGTCGATGGTTTTGTTCTCAGCCTCGAGGAGGCAGTTTGGCAGCCCCTCCGCATCTCCGGCCTCCCCGGTGGCGGTACATTTGTTGAGGGCCTCTTGGTCTTTGCCGTGGAGCTTCTCACCTCCCAGGGTCACGTTGCAGGGCTCCTTCTTGGCCTGCTGGACCTTCTCCAGACCTTCAGAGGATCTCTTCACAGAGAGGTCCAGAGGACCCTCGTGCGGTTTGGTGGCTTTCTCCAGTGCCTGGTGAATGTGGTAGAGCTCCCTTCGGATTTTGACTAGCTGGTCCCTCAGCTCTTTTTGCCCAGGTGTGTCCTCCTTGGCAAGATCAGACAGTTTCTTCTCCACCTCTTGGTACTCCTCTAAGGTTTTGGACAGGTCCCCGATAAGCACGGTTGTGGCCTCAGATTCTGTCACGGTGGGAGAAGTCTCTTGGGGTCTGCTCTGCTTGCAGAGGCCATGGTCCAGGCCAGCACCCGCAGAGGGAAGAACTTCAGCGTCATTGCCTCTCTGCGGTTCCTCAGGCCGGGCTGCGAGGACCTCCGTGTGCCAGTGGTCCAGGACCTTGGGGATGACAGGTCCCCGATAAGCACGGTTGTGGCCTCAGATTCTGTCACGGTGGGAGAAGTCTCTTGGGGTCTGCTCTGCTTGCAGAGGCCATGGTCCAGGCCAGCACCCGCAGAGGGAAGAACTTCAGCGTCATTGCCTCTCTGCGGTTCCTCAGGCCGGGCTGCGAGGACCTCCGTGTGCCAGTGGTCCAGGACCTTGGGGATGTGGCTAGGGTTGGCCCTTGAACCACTGTGGGGGAGGAAGAAGAAGATGAGATAGGAAAATCCTTGGGCATGTGTCCGAGGCCAGCATTGCCAAATTGAGCCAGGGTTCCTCCACTGTCTGCTGCCAGCGTGAGGCCCTTCCAGGAAGGGCTTTGGTCCGAGCATGCAGAGCCCTGGCTGGACCTGCTGCTGGCAGCATTCTCCCAGGAGGCAGATGGACCCAAGAACACCCTATTTCATAACACCAGCCAACAAAGGGACAGACCATTCAAGTCGGGAGAGATGGCGCTGGTGGTTGATCCCTCCTCAGCTGGCCAAACCTGGATTCTTTTTCTTGGAACACTGGAGAACATTGATGGAAATGACCATCCCATCATCCTGAAGGCCCAGTTGGAGGGGGTCTGAGAGCAGGGAAGAGGCAGGTGGAGATAGAAAACCATGGAGAGCTTCTCCAGAGGAAGCTCGCCCGAGTGCCAAAAGCAGTGGGTTTTACAGTGACATTTTTCTTGGAGCCACAGATGGACTTGCACAACCAGGGGAGGAACTGAAATTTTGTTAAAAGGAGCTGTGCACATTTCTAGCCCCAGGTAAAAGGAAATGTTTGGAAATGTGACCCTCCCTCTGGGCTTTGAAACCAGAAGGCAAATCAAAGGAATGCAAATGTGTATGTTTAAAAATAAGCAGTGATTGTTCCAGCAACCGTGGGGTATCTGGGGACCCAAGAGGAGATTCCCCGGTGGCTGGGGAGCGCAGGTCCACACCACACAGCCACGACATCACTTCTGGCTCTGTGGAGCCAGAACTGGGGAAAGTGAGGGGCAGCAAGTGGTGATGCTGCCCGGGTGCTTGGACGCACCTGAAGGCTATTCGGGTCCTTTGTCCCTGGAGGGCGGAAAGCCCTGCTCTGAGTGGGCACTGGCTGTCTTGGGGGTATGGACCACCAAGCCTGGACTGTGCTCAGTCCTTGAAGGCTCAGCTCATGGTTTAGAGGCAAGCAGGTGGATCAGGGAGATGATGGATTATGAAGATGATGTTTAGTGCCAGCCAGATGTGAGGAAGAAGCAGAGAGATCAAAGGCACCTTACCTGCTCTGGTAGCTGAGTTTTCCAGGCATCAGCATTTCAGGTCCCATCAAATCCAGCCCATTGGCAGTGAACTTCCTCTTCAGGGAGTTGCCTGGAGGGCTACTGGTCTCCGGACAGGTCACCAGTGGTAACTCCATCTTCCGGATGCTGCTGGGGGCAAAAGTGCCATCCTTCATCCCCACCGTGTTTTGGTAGATGTCAGTGGCTGGCTTTTTGCGTAGATTGTTGAGGCCCAAAGTTGGGTTGCTCTCCTTCTCTTGGGACAGCCATTTTTCCCCTTCTTCCTGCCCCAGCATGGCCGGGTGGCTGAGCTCAGAGGCTGGCTCCTCTCGGACTCCTTTCGACCAAGGAAAACTTGTCTTCACAATTGGTACCTTCAGCAGCCCTGGTTTGGGGGGCTCACTGGGGGGCTTGGCTTGGGGCGGCATGGGCATGACAGAGCCTGCCAGCTGCGGGGCTTCTGGCTTGCTGGAGGACATCTTGCTTTCATTGGAGCCGAAGGTGTGCTCGAAGAGCAAGGGGTAGTAGAAGCGGGGGAGGAAGGCTGAGCGCTCAGGGCTCTGCAGAGGCTGGAAGTGGGAGGCATGCGGGTGCATCAGCTGGGCCGTGGAGGCCAGGAAGGGCAGCTGAGCCACGTGCGGGTGTGTCGTAGCACTGTTGGCCATGGTGGGGCTCAGGTAGGAGAAGAGACTGGGGTTCAACGGATAGTTAATACCCAGCAGTGAGAGGTTGAGGCCCTGAGGTTCGTGGTAGTCACCATAGGCTGGAGGGGGGTAGCACGGGATGATGTTGCTGTCGGTACAAGGTGGGGAGACCTCAGGTGTGTTCCTGCTTTGCCCATTTGCCACCAGCTTCCACTGCTCCATGAGGATCCCACTGCTGGCCAGGCATTTCTTTGGCACTTTGCAATGCTTTGGCTTAACATCTAGGTCTGGGGAGGCCATTTCCCTGCTTTTCACGACGTGGTTCTTGAGGGAGAAGACGTCCGTGATGATGAAGTCGGGCTCCACCTCCTTGCAAGGTTTGTCCCTCTTGTTCTTAAAACCAAAGACCAAAGTGTTCACTTCTGGCTCAGCTGGGTCACCTCGGCAGCCTGCCTCTTCGTTTTTCTCCTTCTTCTCCCCTGCATCCATCTCCCTCAACAGGCCAGCAACGTCCTCCTCCTCCTCTTGGAACGGGCCGCCTTCTTCCCCAGCCCCTTCAGCAGGCAGGATCTCCACCCCTGACGTCAGCTTGTCCTCGTGGCCGTCCCTGCCGGCGGCCTGCTTCGTCCTAACCGACCCTCCCGATGCGGCCGAGGAGTCGCAGGTCTCCCGCTCGTCCCGCCGCCCACGCAGGCGGGAGGTCTCTGTTGCGTGCAGGAGCCGCAGCTCCGGGTGGAGCAGATTGCCCTTCTTGTAGGGCCAGTCGGACTCGATGAGGAGGGAGAGGGAGTTCTTGCACAGGCTGTACTTCATGTGGTTGTAGAGGTGGGACTTCTCCATGCAGGTGAAGGGGCACTGGAAACACTTGTAGTTGTATGGCTTGCCCCATGGCCTTGGGATGTAGTGGGGCTTTTTTGGCTTCCTCTCCTTGTGCTTGTAGACGGAGGTCAACTTGCAGCCCACATCGTCCTTGGACATGGTGGCAGGTGCCTGGAGATGGCTCCCTGTGGGAACGGAGGGGCACGGCGTGTGAATCTTCCCACAGCCCTCCGGGAACCACTGTGTGCCCTGGGAGAAGGACAGCATGGAGCGGGTGAGCTGTGCCTGCGGCTCCCTGGCGAGATGGTTCTGCTCCCGGGGGTACCTTCTGGCCCCAGGGAGCAGAGCTGCTGGGACCTCAGCCTGGAGCTCCCGTGTTTGGGATGTAAACCCGAGCCAGTGACGGGATTTTTGCCCAAGCCCTGTCGCTGTGCCCGTACATGCTTGCCCCATTTTTAACCCTCTTCTGTCAAGCCACCCCAGAGGAAAAGGAAAACAAACGCTATTAAAGGCGTTGAAGCTAAACCACCTTGAGCTGACATTGAAGCTCGCAGGCGACCTGTCCACCCAGCCGGAGCCTCCCTGGGGCAGCCCCAGCCCAGGAGCGATTCCCTGGCTGAGGGCAGGGAACAGAGGAGGAACCCACCCGCAGCCCCGCGCACCGTGCTGGGCGCGGACCTGTGCTGGGCTCGGACCTGCGCGGCTTTGCCGTCTCCTGGGTGCTGCAGTGCCGGAGCCGACCAAGACGTTCCAAAGCTCAAAACCAAAGCCGGTGCGGAACCGGGCTAAAGGCAGCCATGCACGTGAACGTGCCGTCGTGGCGCAAAGGGGACGGTTGGGTGGACAGACTGGCCGGGGGGAGGCTGCAGACAGACTGCCTTCAACGCGGCATTGCTGCTGGAGAGGGCGGTC